TGAGTAGCGTAGAGAACATACATTGACAACTGACAGCATCAAGTTCATTTAAAAAAACTCATGCGCATATAAGAGAAACTAATATAGGCAACTAGGACGGAACTGTTTGCGTTTGCATGATGCTATGGAATTCTGGAGGAAGAAAGAAAGAATACAGTCGCAGTAAAAATCGGACATATCTAGATTCCAGAAGGAAAAAATAACAAAAGACAAGTGCTACGTCGATATTCCATTCCTTTTCATATTTGGTTGGGAGAGAAAGAATTAAAGAAAGCAAATGGGATTTCAAACAATAATTACTTTTGATTTTTTTTTTTTTTTCCCTCTCTTTGGTGGAGACAAGACTACTTTTAGAACATTCAAAAGAGAAGTTTGACGAATAATTTCTCACTGATCGTCCTTTACTCGTAAACTTGTGCCAATAACTGAAAAACTAAAGAAATACTTTACTCCAAAAGTCTTAATTTTCTTTGCTGAAAAAGTAATAATATGAAGGATCAATTCCTTTTTCTTTTTTCTTTTTCCCTGGTGCAGGGAATTGCTGATCTTAATACAGCCCCCTCTCCCCCCAAAGGGGAAAAAAAAAAGATTACTCAGGAAGCAGGAAATTCATATCAAGTTCACGTATGGAAAACATCAAGTTTATCCACCTGGAGGTAGGTAGAATGTGCAGTAGATAGTTGTGAACGTTCAAAAAGGCATATGTGAAAAAAACGTGGCCGAAGAATGAATGATAATCTTACCTTCTCTGATAAAAATGTCCCTAGTAAAGAACCTCCTAGAACTGCAAGCTGTTATTATCAAAATTGGATTAAACAATTGGAAACTTGATACGTGAGCATGATAAATCGATACTGAAGGTTTGGTACATACATACACATATTATTAGAAATTGAAGTATTTAACGCGTACTTTCTATTAAATTCATGCACTAAACTTGCCCCAATCTCTAATCAATGGACCCACTTTCAGATACGCAAGTAAGATTCAACTTAGTGTAACAGCCACAGATGGAAGTGCATGATTCCGTGTACACTCAAAATTGTTCACCCATTTTAGAGATCAACTTTTCCCACTGAGAATTTGTTTAGTCATACAAAGTAATGTTTACGCAAATCAGGAATTGGATGCTGCAAAAAGAAAAGTATTTACCAACGTTGCTACACCATGACCAGCTAGGGCACCTCCAATAACTCCAAGGGGTGAAGAAGCAGCAGCAAGGGCTACACAATGGAGAAAGAAAAAATATGTATGTATGAGAAAGAAAGTATAGTCTGGAGTTCAGATATAGGAGGAAGAATTAGATCAGAAAAACACTTGAAAATTCTTGGCAATATAAAGTTCAAAGATAAAATTTTAGTCCACATAATGATATCAAGTCTTTATTAGCTCTAAATAACAGTTCAGAAAGATGTAACAGTTTAAAAATTTGTTTCTTGTTAAAAAAACAGTTTAAATTTGTATGTTCACTTCATTTCTTTTACTACAACAAATGTAGGGTCGAGAATATGAACCACCGACTTCAAGTGAAGGAATTGATATCTTAACCATTACGTTATATTCATGTGGGCTTGTATATCTACTTCATTCAATCTGATCTTTCAATCAAGTTATATACTTCAGACTTGGTGATCAACTCATCATCTTTTCGTAGTTAACAGACAAATGAGGAAACTCATCATTTTTAGTGGTAGATTTCAACAATATAATTTGATAAGAAGTTGATCGAACATCAACAATATGTAAATTTCAAAAGACCTGTCCGCTTACCAATTGTAGAGAAAAATGACTTGTCGCCCCACTCAGCTACAAACACTAATACAAAGGTGCTGATGACAGTACTGGCAGCACCTCAGATCCCAGCACCATTTCCTGAGAATTTTGTGACCGCTATCTCTGCCTGATTCAGATTAAAACAAAACTATTAATTTGTGACATATTTTCAGCTACTGGAGTTCAATCACACAAGCCACGGGTTTTTGGTGACTTCATATAATTCTTGAGAGAAGGAATAAAAACTTAAGTTTACAGTAGTCTTGAGACTAGTTCCTGTATTTTATGGGGCTTCGCCATCACACCAAGGTGTATTAATTTATTTCCGAAATTTCCGTTTAATTATCTAGTATTCTCCTCTATATACTTTTAAGATATAAAATTCTAGTCTATTCTTACATAAAATCCCAACACTTGGCTAATATAAATTAATTGTCATAAATACAGTAGAGACATACACTTGAGGGCTTGAACAAGAAGTGAAAGAAAGGGATATTGTAGGATACTTCCACAAACATCAGACATCAGTATAAGGGATTACCTCCTGCTCCTCATCTTCTGCCTTCAGTCCATCGCTTGAGCTGGCATCAAGCAATGTTGAGACCCCAAAATACACCTGAAATTAGCCCAAAGCAATCTATTACATCCATAAAAACTTTTGAATTCGCATTTGGTTGTTATGTCAAGCATACAGCTCTACTCTAGTGTATAAGGAAGCAATATAAGATGTTTTGCCAATCACAAAACGACTATACTTACCAAAAGACAGACAGCAGCAATATCATCAACTGGTAAGTAAATCTCACCTAGCCTGTGATCATATACGTAAGACAAGAGGGCTAAAGAACCAAATATATTGATGGCAATTGGAATTTCCAAAGAGGAATCAGAGTTTAAGACAATAAATTGAAAATAATAAAAGGGCGTAATCCATGATCTCATTTAGGCCCATATCAGTAAATCTAAGCCATATTGGAATAATGGTGCATCAACGTACAGTTTAAGAACTGAAACTCTTTCCTTTTTCACATTCCTAAAGAGGTGCTTATCACAAGGAGCGTACCTGAATGCAAGAATCCCATCAACATGGTGAAAAGTTCGTCCGAGAACACAGATATGATGGTCATTGCCCTGCCATAGACAAAAACCTCTTGAAGGATTTGATAGCAAATTTATCGTGATTTCATGAGATGTCAACAGCATAGCATTTTCAAATAATACTTGTGATTCATCTGTTTTTGAATTAATATCATTGCCCGGCACAGAACCAATTGAATCTTAACACTATTTGACTACTAAAGGCATGTCTATCATGAGTCGCTTTTTTATATAAAGATCCTGAAAGTTTTCAAAAAACATTAACAGAGATCCTAAACCCAAAAAAAACAAAAAGAAGAAGAAGAAGAAGAAGGATCTTAAATTATATCTAATTACTGTACCCAAAAATAAGGAGACTGCAAGCTCATGATTACTAATATGCTGTCCCTGCCCAGCTGTTATTCATACAAAACTGATGATGATGATTCTTTGTTGGTAACTGATATGAATTTATCCAAATGGTTGCGACTATGTAAAAAAAAATACATAGTCAGCACATGGTGAAATAACATATGCAAAAGCACCAAAAGTTCCAGTAAAAACAATAGCAGCAGAGTTCCTAGCTGCTAGGAGAGCCTACAGAAGAAAGTAAACATAGAATTAGGAGAAGCACGATACTCTATCAAAATTAAGACTATTTTTCAGAAAACAATAACCCAAGTTCTTTCTTATTGTATCCATGTTTAGGAGACTACAAGGTTCCTTTTTCCCACCAGAACTTGATCATCATTTCACACTTACTGCAATGAAAAAAGTCTTGTCCCCAAGTTCTGAAAAAAAAAATCAGTAAAAATGCCTGCATGAAGAAAGAACATAACATAATTATAACCCTGTGCTTTCACATCATACTAAAATCAGAAATTGATTACTCCACGTTTTAGCTCAAAAATCAACCTATAACACTAGAATCTCATTTGCAGTCAGAGACATATAAGTTGCATACCGTAGAGGTATCAAGGTTCCACCATGGACTCTCCCCAAAGAAATCAAACTACAACTAGGCTTCCTGCAACATTAAAATGCCAATTCATAGAATTTACAAGGAATGATTTACTAACTGAAGCAAAACTTGTGCGAATATCACAAAGAAACAACTGCTTAGAATCAGAATTACCTGAGGACAATGGGAAGCGAGAAGTTGGAAGAGAGCCTCCTGCAAGGAGAGTTAAGAGACACCAAACAAGAAGCAACCGATCTTGGAGATGCAGAGAATGAAGAAGGTGGATGAAATGTCGTGTGAAAGATTAGACCCCGGCATTATTCGTCAATCCCCTCTGTTATTGCCTGAATCTTTCGGTCTTCAGGGGATTCGAAAACGAAGAAGAAGAAGAAGAAGGAGCAACGACCGCCGGTGAAGCGCCAACAGTCCCAACTGCATATCCTTCTATCCGTTCCGATTGGGCCAAAAGACTCCTGTCAGCCCATTAAGCGTTGGGCCCAATTTTGTATTGTTTTGGGCCATCAACCCCATTTATTATAAATTAATTAATTTGAAAATTATTTTAAAATAGTAAATTTAATAAACTTAAAGAAAATGTATATTAATCTAAATTCAAATTATTTTCCTAATAAATAAAAAAAACACAAGTAAAATTATTTTAAGGTTTAAAAAAAAACGTGGAAAATTAGAACATTAAAATGTATTGTTGGGACAGTTCTAGAAGGGCAAGCCAGGTCATTTGTAAGAATGTTTGAAGACATTAACGACAGGTGGTCGATGAAATCAGCAATCTCAATGCCAAATCATGTATTAAATTCAACGGTCCAGATGAAAGATAGTAGTACTTCCCATTTCACAAAAGCAAACCCATCTGGCAAGAATAAACATCACATCACATCACAAATTCACAGGAATCAAGTAAACCTCTTGTTTATCCTTTTGGTTTTCATGTTTAAATATTAATTACTTTGATTATGGATTAATCAAATCCATAAGCTTCTGGCTTTCCTGTCAGAGTGAGGAAGTCCACGTGAGGAAGCAAGCGGACAGTCTGTGCAGTGTTTTTTCCACTGCAGAATGCCAATATTTTTATTCCTTTGTTTTTATTTAAGAAGATTATGGGAGAATTTTGTGTAAAAATCTAATCTTGGCAAGGTGGAACATTATGTGAAAGGACATAAGCGTTGAAGGGGTCTTATAAATTCTCCTCTTTTTTCAATTTGGTTCGTACAGAAAAATGAAATGTCATAGGTGGTGACCCCAGCTAGATGCCCAACGGGTAACCCAAGAACCTTTTCCACCACCCCTTTTAGGCCGCCATGGAAATGACTCAGATAAGATCACAGAGGGGAAGGGTGGGAAGTTAAAAAAGAAAGGAAATTTGAAGGGAAAAAAGAAACCCCACCTGAAAATATAAAAGCTCTGTTTTGATTTCTTAAACCCCAGAGGAAATTAGGGCCGAAAAAGGGATGGATGAGAGAGAAAAGAGAAGAAGGGGGGAGGGTGGTCTTTTTTAAGAGTAGGAAATGGAAAACGGTGGTGTGGAAAAGGAGGAAAATTTGGGGAAAAAGTTAAGGAGAGGGGTTTTGATTGGGAAAAGATGTGGACCTTGCACTCCAGTGCCTTCATGGAGGATTTGGGCTCCTCCTCAAGAGACTATCATTAACCAAACAGACCCTTTTCACAGTTCTTCTGCTTCTGCTTCTGCTTCTATCTCTGCCAGAAAGCTTGCGGCTGCCCTTTGGGAGTTTCATCACTATCTTCCACTTCCTAAGATGCACAGAGCTTCCAAGAATGGCGTATCTAATGGTGCTGCTGATTCAAGGCTCATCCGCCGCCGCCACTTCCATCATCATCATAAGGACAAAGCCCTTGAACTTTCCAACTTTCTTGGTGATCCTTGCCCCAGCTCTCCTGAGCAGGTCTGTTTTTTTTGTGGTGGTTGTTGTTCTTGATTTGGGGTTTTGGATTTGTGTCTGTTTTAGGGTAAAATTGGGACATGGATGTTTTGTTTTCTTTGGATTTTTGGTGGCTGATTTGTGTTGATTACTTGAAATAACAAACTCAGGATGGGCTTTCTGGCCTCTTAATTACTCCCCTTTATGATGTTCCTTCTCTGTTTCCTCTGGTGCATCTTTCAGTTTAATGAATAAATCAGCTTTCATCCAATGTTCTTGTGGCAAGCTGCTTATTCTTAGCTGGTATGGCCATGAACTATTTGGTATGGCCAAGAACACCAAAAAAAGGCATCAAACAAGTGATTTTGGTTAGAAGTTGGCGAATTTGCTGTAGGGTTTAGACAGGTCATGTGGTATTTGGTGTCTGGTTTACTGCATTTTAGCTCATCCCTTTTGGCTCATACTTGGGACTAACTGATGTTGTGCACATAAGCGTTCTAAAAGAACTATTTGGTTTAGATTTTCGCATCGTTAGATGAATTGCTAGACGCTTTTATCCGAACGCTCTACTTAAGAAAATCGATCCAACGTGTTATCGTTTGTTTGGCTATTCATGATTGATCTTAACCTTTAGATCAACCAGGTTGGTAGTTTTTGTTCTGTCTACTATTTATCCTTAACTTCAAATGGCAGCCAGCAAGTGCAAGCAGCTTAAGGAGACATGTTGCTGCATCATTATTGCAACATCATCAATCAATTGAAAGGAACAATCAAGCTCTTCAGCCCATATCTCCCAGCTACGGAAGCTCTATGGAGGTACAATTTGTTTTCTCTATTCCACCTTTAACAAGTTTTTTTTTCCATGCGATTTCGAGGCTAATAGGCATGCTTTTTGAGTCGAGGAGGTGTATGGTGAATGTTTGATTGTCCTATTCAAACTGGTAGCATAGAGTGAGAACTAACGGAAATGAGCTAGTGTCAGCTTTCTTTATGAACTTTTGTGAGATCCCACGTTGGTTGGAGAGGGGAACGAAGCATTCCTTATAAGGATGTAAAAACCTCTCCCAAGCAGACGTTCTAAAATCGTGAGGCTGACAGCGATACGTAACGAACCAAAGCGGACAATATTTGTTGGTGGTGGGCTTGGGCTCTTACAAATGGTATTAGAGTCAGACACCGGGCAATGTGCCAGCGTGTACGCTGGGATCTCAAGGGGGGTGGATTGTAAGATCCCACGTTGGTTGGAGAGGGGAATGAAGCATTCCTTATAAGGGTGTGGAAACCTCTCCCTAGCATACACATTCATAGCTATGAGGCTGACAGCAATACGCAACGGGCAAAGCAGATAATATTTGCTAGCGGTGGGCTTGAGCTATTACAAATGGTATCAGAGCCAGACACTGAGTGGTGTGCCAGCGAGAACGCTGACCCCCAAGGGGGGTGGATTGTGAGATCCCACATCGGTTGGAGAGGGGAACGAAGCATTCCTTATAAGGGTGTGGAAACCTCTCTCTAGCAGACACGTTTTGAAAACTATGAGACTGATGGCAATACGTAATGGACCAAAGCAAACAATGTTTGCTAGCGGTGGGCTTGGATTGATACGATCGATTCTCCTTAGAATTGGACCCATGTTTCTGCATATTGTTTCTGATACAATCTTCCCTTGTGCATTCTGTTTCCGTTTGGCTTAAGAAAATCATCACTAAAGTTGGCTGTTGTTCTTTTACCATTATGTTTATCGAAGGCGTTCCAAAATGACGAAAGCGATTCCGAGAACCAGGCTCGTCATTTACTCAGTTCTTCTAACATCTTTCTTGATGTGTATTGCAACTTCTTTTCTTGCAGGTGGCACCTTACAACCCTGCAATCACTCCTAGTTCTTCGGACTTCAAGGGAAGAATTGGCGAATCACATTATAGTCTTAAGACGTCTACCGAACTGCTAAAAGTATTAAATCGAATCTGGAGTTTGGAAGAGCAACACGCGTCGAATATAGCTTTGATAAAAGCATTGAAAACAGAACTCAGCCATACTCATATCAAGATGAAGGAGCTGCTTCGACAACGACAAGCTGATCGACACGAGATGGATGATTTAATAAAGGAAATTTCCGAAGACAAACTCGTTAGAAAAAACAAAGAAGAAGATCGTATCAAGGCTGCAATTCTGTCGATGAGGGATGAACTTGAAAACGAGAGGAAATTAAAGAAACGATCTGAGAGCCTACAGAGGAAGTTTGCAAGAGAGCTCTCTGAGACGAAATCTTCTCTTGTCAATGCGCTAAACGAGATAGAACGAGAGCGAAAATCTAGGATGCTCTTGGAGGATCTCTGTGATGAATTTGCGAAGGGCATAAAACGCTACGAAAACCTGGTGCACGCCTTAAAACAGAAATCTGATAGGAACAGCACGGGAAGAGTTGATCGTGATGGTTTAATTCTCCATATCTCGGAAGCTTGGCTCGATGAAAGAATGCAGATGCTACAAGAACAAAACGGTGCTTATGTCGAGAAGTCTGTGGTAGAAAAATTACAAGTCGAAATCGAGAGCTTTCTTGATGCTAAACGAAATGATGCTAACGATAGCAAGAACGATCAACTGTTAAAGGACCATCGAAGTTCACTAGAGTCGGTCCCATTGAATGAGGCTACCAGTGCACCTCAAGCTCGGGACGATGAAGATTCTCAAGATAGCGATTCACATTGTTTCGAGTTAAACAAGCCAAACAACAGCAATACCATGACTCATAAAAATGAGAATACAGAAGATCATATCGACAAAGTAGAGAAATCAAACGACACGCAAAGGAAACTCGGGTCTCACGAGAGGTCTAAAAGCCACACTCCATCCAGCTTGCAAGTACGGTTTGAAGAACAAATGGCTTGGGCAATGTCTTGCATCGGAAACAAGAAGAACGAAGGAATATCCGCTGAAGTAAACAAACCTAGCCAGACTGAGAACTGTCAAGACTCGATCCACGGCTCGAATTCGAATCACATACTGGATAGCGTTATCAGAAACCAACTCCTTCATGGGGACAATGTGCATCCTGAAGAAGCTCATGGTGAGGCCTCCAGCAGCAACACTGGGTGGAGGAACCAAGCAAGTCCAGTGAGACAGTGGACAACAACAGCAGCCCCAGAGATCAACACGAACACCATACAGTCATCGACATCGACATCATCGAAATTGCCTCCCGGACTAAAGGAGAACACTCTGCACGCAAAGCTTCTTGAAGCAAGGACAAAGGGAAGTCGGTCGCGGTTAAAACTTTTCAAGTGAAAACTGTTTATCCTACTTTTTTGGAGTACTTATGGTGATATCCCTCTCCTTATGTATCCTTGTTATGTCTCAGCATAGTACAGTTTTACATTCCACTTCAGCACCTGTAAGGATTGGTAATGACTCTCAAATATATTATAGTATCAAGTTCGGGTATTATCGACCTGAAAACCCGAATTCCAGAGCTGAATTACCATATTGAAGAAGATGGGCATGTGGGAAATCAAGAGATATGAACAAAACAAATGTAAAGCCAGAGGCTTTGGGGTTATGACAATGGCGGCAAGAAGCATATATTATAAATGAAATGTTTGGATTTTGTGACATTGGGAATCCTGCTCTACGTATAAATCAATCATTAACACAACTAAATGCAAGAATCAAGTTGATTCAAGGGACCCTAATAGTAGCTTATTAAAAATTAGTGGGTAAGAATCTATGAACATCATAAAACTACTCAAAATAAGCAAGTTGGGTTGTGTGGAATCTTCAAAAATTACCAAATTTTACCAAAGATTAGGAGAATAAAGTAATATATATATATATATATATATATATATGTATGTATATGGTGACATAAGTTCAAAGTTTAATCTCCTCAAATTAGAAGATGGAGCATAAATGATCGTAAACTAGTTCAATTAACTCGTTAATTAAGATCGTAAAAGGGCGGGCACTCTCATATTTCAACCCCACTATACTGGATACTGAAAGCTTCTACGATAAGCAAGTGAATGGGGGCGGTGCTTCCATTGTCTACTGGACTCACTCCCCTTAATCGAGGCTCGACTTCTTTCTCTGGAGCCCTCGAACAAAGTACACCATTTGTTCGACACTTTAGTCACTATTGACTAAACCTTCGAGGCTCACAATTCTTTGTTCGATATCTGAGGATTCTATTGACATGGCTAAGTTTAGGGCATGGCTCTGATACACCCTTTGTTCAACACTTTAGTCACTATTGACTAAACCTTCGAGACTCACAATTCTTTGTTCGATATCTGAGGATTCTATTAACATGGCTAAGTTTAGGGCATGGCTCTGATACTATGTTAAGAATCACAAATCTCCACAATGGTATGAGATATTGTCCACTTTGAGCATAAGCTCTCATGGTTTTGCTTTGGGCTTCCTCAAAATGTCTCGTATCAATGGAGATAGTATTCCTCACTTATAAAATCATGATCTTCCACTAAATTAACCAATGTGGGACTCACTCTCAATAATCTTCAACAGGTGCATGGTGAACGGAACGGTTCAAGCCATTTCTCGCCTCAACCCCCTAACTACCATCTTTAATACCATTTCATCTATTATTGATATCAATTATTTATATCTTTAATACCATTTCATCTTGTTACCCAATGTTTAGAGGGCTGAATGAAAATTTATTACTTCATACGAATTTCAAAAGAAAATGGTGAAAAGAAACGAAATGATTATGAAAATGACATTGGAAACACCAAAATTTTGTCCTCTAATAAAATTGTTCAAACATGTCCAATCACAAAAGAAACAGAATATTAATAAAGATTGAAAAAAGGGGAACTTTCTTTATGAACACAAAGTTTCTGGCTACATCAGGTTCTTCAGGGTTTGATGAGCAGTTAACCATCAAAACATTACAAATTCAATATCCTTTAACCGCTAACGATAGACTTGAACTCTTCAAAAATCACCGTGACACAGCTTCGCTTGTATAAACATGTTGACACAACCCCATAACTCAAACGACATTCCTCCCATCCATCGTCTCGTACATCCTTGCCACTAAACGAAATGTTAAAAAACTCGAAACATAACCCTTGAATAAAGTATTAGCCGAGATAAGTCACGAGCAAATTGTATGAATTGAAATACCAAGAAATTTCATCACAACTAAATGAAAGTGACCCGAGTCACATCTTTTCGACATAATAGCATACCATTCGTGAATATAGACGAGATCTTATGACTATCCAAATTAAGCAACAAATGCACGTACATTGATCACATAATCGTTATACATTTCTAACCTAACCCTAAGGTGAAAATATAAGATGAAACCCATAGGCTTGTGGAAACTCAACTGGAACCTAAACACAAGTGTTTGAGACCAATTTAGATAGCAATTTAACGGATGGCTGAGAGAATTTAGGACTCCAGATGGCCTTTATGCATTAATTGAATGACTTAAAGCAACACCTTTTTACCCATAAAATCTCATTGGAAAGGCTGATTTACTTAACAAGCTGACACCACGAAGCTAGCAGCAGGGCAACCACCAGAGGCCTAGCGATGACCGACAGATATTGATTGAGAGACACAGAGATCCACCAACGACTGCTGCAGTCAAGGAGAGAAAACAAGAACATGACAACATATAAACTCAGTAACCCATCAAATAAAGCTATCATCTTTTTCCTTCTTTTACAGTTTTACATTAAATTAAATTAAATTAAATTGTAACCTTAAATAAACAAAAAGAAAAAAAAAACATCTCAGAAGCTAATAATCAGACACAGAAGAAAAGAAAACAGTCGTTTTCTTCTAAGATTTGGTTTGAAAAAGATGGTTAATGTAATAACAAGAAAAAGACAGGCATAGAAGAGAAAGGGTAAAATGGTAAAATACACAGACATAAATGAGTTATCTTTTTCTCTCTCTAGTCTAAAAGGATGGGAGAGTGTAACATGTCTGGGAACTTGTTGCAGCATTTAGACCGACACCCAAGAAGCTATGGCGTCGAAGCTCGTGTCCAGTAACCTCTTCTCTGTTCTTTGCTCTGTCCCTTCAAAAATATTCCATCTTTTCCAAAACCCTAATCTACAACAACACTCTTTTCAAATCCATTCACCTTCTTCTTCTTCATAATATCATCAAACATTCATAACAAAAACATATAAAAACTTCTCCCTAACAAACACTAAAACATAAATATAGTATAATATCTACCGACAGTGGATTTCAGGCATTACAAATGATATCAGAAACACCGGACATTGGGCTCTAAGTGAGTGAATTGTGAGATCTCATATCGGTTCTAATAGTTTGAAAATCTCTCCTTAATAGACACTTTCCAGAGACAAAGTAAACAATATCTAATAATCGTGAAGTTGAGTGATAATCTCACCTGAAACCTTCTTTAAATCCTTCTTTAAATGGGTTGTCTCAGCGAAGAATCTGAATCCAAGACCCAAGCTAGCTTTCTACCAATCAAAACAAGAACAAGTTAAGATTTTGATGATTTATTTGAACAAAACGTTGAATTTGTGTAAGTGGGTATGGAATGAATGTTGAAGTTGTTAGAGATCTCGATCTCAAAAGCAAAATTAACAGCCAAAAACAGGGAAAAGTGAGAGATTTTAAGGGGAAAGAAGGGTTAAAAGGAAAGGGAGCTCCCTTCAGTCCAAGTACAGGAAGCTTAAGATTCAATTTGTCTCCCGCATCATTCACTCGTTTACTGAATCGACAGCCGATTGATTGACTCAGTATTTGAACGAATGAGTCGGCAGCTAATTAAACCCTACGGCCACCCATGAGTGGACTGAAGAAAGCTCTCTTAACCCTCACAAAATTATCCAAACAACCACAAACCCTGAAAAACAAGAACAAAGAGAGAGACCCTTTAAAGGGTATTCAACAATTTTGGAGAAGAAACTAGCCATGGATCTCAGGCTGAAGAGGAAGAGGGGTTTATAAAGATAAGGGGGAGAGAGAAAGAAGAGAGAGAGAGAGAGATTTTTAGAGGAAGGAACAGAAGAAAATATTAATGGGAGACACACCCATATTCTCCCTTCTTCCCTTTCTCTACAAATCTCTTTTGGATTTGGAATCCTTGTTGCTTACCTATGCATATGCCCTAATCTCCTCTATAAAAATCAAAACTTTGCTCTAATTTTATTAATAACTAAGTAAGAAGCATCATATTCTTTCCAAGGCATATATATATATATGTACATATGTACTATGCTATAATGATTTTTTGTTTGTGGATAAAATTAACTTCAAATATTTACCGAAGGGTAATTTAGTCTTTTTAAATTATAAACGGAATTAAACGGGATGTGTATCGATAAATAGGTCAAAAGTTTGAATTTTGTTCTCCTTATCTTTAACGATAAAACTCCACGTGGAAATAAATTGCGGATTTATTAAATATAAAAATTGGATTTGATATGTGATGAACGTGTAGATTTTATCCACATTGGATTTTATACGGATTTTTTAAAGTAATAAAAAGTATTAAGAGTGTTAATTAAATAAGTAATATGCTTAAGGGCTAGAGATGCTAGTAGAAGGCTAGTGTCCCTAGGGTTCATGTTTATGATGGGACAAAACTAAATAATTGTGTTTTTCTTTTTTTAATTTCCAGACAAAGAGCAAGTTAGAAGCATCAATCTTTAGAATATTACCACACGGTCACTCAACCCAACATTACTATGAGGAGTATACAGGGGTGATCGAACTCGAAATTTTAAGTTGATTAGATTGATGATACGAACAATCGAAATAAAGTTCACAATTCAATCCTCTATTTTCGAGTTGGGCTACTATTAGGTTAGGAACTATTTGATGATCTATTGGCTATCCACCGTTCGCAAATATTATCTACTTTGACTCGTTACATAACGTCATTAACCTCACGATTTTAAAACGCGTCTACTATGAAGAGGTTTCTCCACCCTTATGAGAAATGTTTCGTTCCAATCTTCAACTAATGTGAGATCTCACAGTATCATAATTGAATTTGCCTCTTTGCGTGACAACTTATGAAAAAAACCAGTGAACGACGGTCATGAACAATTCGATACTTTAACTTGACTAGAACGTTATGTGAATTTTGTAGGACCTCGTGCAAGTTTATATTACATAAAAATCGTGAACTTACATAGTTATTTCAGCCATCTTTGAACGGATTCGTGGGTTAAAATCATTTTAATGTCTTTAAATGTCATGCATGTAGTAATGACTCGAGACATATATCTGAGAATTGGACCACTTAAATCGTAACTTTAACACCATATTTTAATCCCATCGCAGCTCTTTATAGAAAGTAATCAAAGAATAATGTATTAATTTAATAGCATAAGGGCAACACATGAGTATAAAAGCATGTGAAGATTTACAAGTCCAAAGACATTTAAGTACGGCTAATACACTGTTTGCTTTGTGCAGCCAAGTTGGTGGAAGTACAAATTCACA